CGCATTACCAGCCCGCAGAGGTCGCCGTCAAGTGGGTGAAGGACTTCGCAAGGGACCCAGTCTTCGGCAAGCGCATCCTGCGCGAGATCCGGATCCTGGCTGCTCCGAGCCTAGACGCGCCCCAGCTGTCGACGCTGTCTCCCCTCTCTCCTCCCCCATTGTCTCGCTCCCGCACCCTCAAGCCCCTCGCTGCCCCGCACCCCCGACGCCACATTCACGCGGACTTGTTGTTTCGAGCCCGTCCATTTGCCCCCCGAAACCCTCTTCATGGTCCCCCCCCATCCCACCAGGAATGTCCGTTAGGGCCATCTAGGCCGCCGAGGCCATCTAGATCTGAGATCTCGGGAGAGAAAACCAGGATGAGGAGGAGGCGGCGGAGGAGGAGGAGGAGGAAGAGGAGGAGGAGGAGGAGAAGGAGGAGGAGGAGGAGGAGGAGGAGGAGGAGGAGGAGGAGGAGGAGGAGGAGATAAAGATGGAGGAGGAGGAGGAGGAGGAGGAGGAGGAGGAGGAGGAGATGCAGATGGAGGGCTGGGGAGTGGGGCGGTCCGCGGGCCGGGCCCTGGCGCCGGGCTGCCCCCATGGCGGCGGCCGAGGCGGCATGCCCCGTCGGCTTCTGTTGTGCGAGAGAGGCTGCCGCAGGACGCACCCGGCCATGGCTGCTGCCTCTACACCACCCACCACCCCACCCCAACCCAACCCGAAGCCCTCAATTTGCCTTCCATTTCCAGTGGGGGGGGGTCGGGGAACGTTGAAAAAACACATGGTATCCGTACCCCCCAACCCGAAATTCGGGTCAAATTCGGGTCTTCGGGTTGGGTTGGGGTGGTCTGGTAGGTAGTCACCTCTACTTGCACGTTGGAGGTGAGCGACCAGGCGGCCCGGCGACCTGCGACCTGTGCGAAGTGCTCCACGCCGTTCGAGACAGGGGGCCTTCGGCTTCGCCGGGCCAGTAGGCGTAATACTCGGCTCATCCATCCCGAGTGCTCGCACGGATTGGTCAACGACACATTTTTTACCGTGGGGTTTGGACAGCGTCCTCTGGCAACGAGACAGAGACTGGAACGTGCCCTTGCGCATGCAGCATCCGCCCACGGCCTTTCTGGAGACGTTCCCCAACCTCGCCTCGAACGGCTCCCTGACGATCCGGACCACGTCCCACCCCGTGATGAACTTCGTTATCTCTACCTGTGGGACGATGGCTTGGGAAAGGATCAACATCTGCCCCAACGTCATCCGCCACGTGCCGGACCACTGGAGGAGCAACATCGTTGAGGCTAAGCACGCGGTTGCCGTTGCCATCGACGCGTTGCGTGGTCGCGTCGATGACGGGGCAAAGCGGCGCGGCCAACTCTGGAAGTTGTTTCTTTGTGTCGATGCTTTGCTGTTGCATTGGGTGCCTCGGCAGCGTGGAGGCCGGCGTGGACAGGACCACCACGCGCTGAACGCTAAACTCACCAGTGGCCACGTGCTTTCTGGAGTGGCGCTTGGCCGCAGCTGCTGGTGGAGTTGGAGGGGTACCAGAGCACGGTCAAGAGCTCCGGGGCGCAATCCCGTTCCTCCGAGGCGGCTGCTGCGCGGGACGTCCGTGTCATCGAACATTTTGTCGCCAAAAAAAGGTCAGCAAGGCTTTCGCATGGGTGCACGCACGCGCCCATGCGTCTCGCCCAGGGCGACGAAGTCCCGAGACGCCTGCAGGACATGTTCCACAGGCCAGCTCGACCGCTGCTCCCGCAGCCCGCCCACGAGGAGGTGCTGTCCACCAACGGGTGGCTGGCGGCCCCGTGTAGAGGCCTTCCCCATCAGATTCACAGTTCCCACCGAACTCGGTGCCTGCGCGGGCTGTGGCGGTGCGAAGTGCGTGGCGGTTCGGGGCGCGCTCGCTTCAATAGCATGGGGAAGGTATGCAAGCGCCCAACAGCCGCTGGCAATAAAGCGTTGGATATGCTCGCCAGAGGGCTCCTCCCACCCAATCGGGATGCCTGGCCAGACGAGTCAAGGCCAAGTCCAGGGTGAGCCACCCAGCCCCATCTTTCAAGGGCCCTGGCATCTGTACCCGACTCAGGCCCTCGTGTAGTCATGCCCAAGAGTACGTAGGAGGAGGGAGCAGGAGTAGGAGGAGGAGGAGGACGAGGAGGAGGAGGAGGACGAGGAGGAGGAGGAGGAGGAGGAGGAGGAGGAGGAGGAGGAGGAGGAGGAGGAGGAGGAGGGAGGAGGATAGAGGCGGTGCTGGGCAGCATCGAGGATCGAGGATCCCCCCGTTCGGCCACGTTCGGCGTGGGCTGGGCGGGCAGGCGCGCGACGCAATGGCGGAGCAGGGGTCGCCGCGCGTGGCGTTGCGTAGACAGGATGAGCATCAACGAGGAGAATGTCGAAAAACGAAGGTTACCAACATTGTTGCAGGACGACCTCCAGGACGGCATTCGAGCTTCTCAGGATGTCAGTCGCTGGGGAGGTATCAGATCCAGGATCCAGGAGCTTTCCGCCATCAGTGAGAGGAAGAAGGAGCAGGATGAGACGAACCAGGAGACGGCCATCTGTAAGCAGTTGCAGAGCTGGGCACAGGACCCAGTGTCGAGGACCGCCATTGTCAATGCACCTGAAGCGGTCATTCAATTTAGTTGGGAGCTGTTGGCAGGACTTCGCGAGCTGTTCGCAGACCCGGAATAAGTTCTAGACCTCCTCAACAAACCCAAGGATATCCTGGCAAAAGTAAGTCGCGCAGCCAGGAGGGAGCCGTCGCCATGGGCCTCGCGCCCACCACCTTGAAGCAGCTTAGGGCCCAGGCTTCCTCTATTTGTGGAAGTGAATGGGCGGCGGGCTGTGCCGCGACTGCCATCAGGATTTGCCCAGGAAATTTTAGCGACCCACTCTTTTGGGGACCCTTGCAGCTCCTGTAAGCATGGCAGGAGCACCTCCCTAGGCTGTCTCTGGCGCGAGGTGATCAACGTCGCCTGGCAGGAATCAGTGCAGAAACTGCAGACGGCTGAGAACCGTTGCTAGCACGTTCGGGGGCATTTAGCAGCAGATGTCACTTTGTTAGAATTGGATTTCGATTTCGCCAGGGGAATGGACCATGCCTTGTGGAGAGAAACAATTTCGAAGGCTCTGAAGGGCCAGACCGCATGACATTCGAGGTGGAGTCCCCTCTGGAGCAGAGCTCATGGGCCCAAACCAACACGCACTTTGAGAGTTTGGGGGTTGAGTCTGGCGTTTACCTCACCGTGACTTGGACCCATCCCAAAAACTTTCGCAAGCAGAGATTCTGGACATGTTAAGCCAGGTGGCCATGTGGGCCGCCAAGCGCGTGTACGATAATACTCCGTTTGGCAGCCTTCGATGCCCCTGGCGTGGAGCGGCCGAGGGACGCTTTTGTTCACCAGTTTTGCAAGTGCACTGCCTCAGTCCCTGACCTCGCCGAAGATTCCGATTCGTGCGAATAAGCGAAGATAGGAACGCAGTCATACCCTTGTTTCTGGCAGTTCGGGCTGGTCCCGATCCCCTGGACCACGGCAGGAGCGGATCTTCCGCTCCCCAATGGTAATACCAAGTTTGAAGGGGAATGACCCAACGCAAGCCGACTTAGGCTCCCCCAGACTCAGTCATCGCTTCTGACGGGCCAGGAGGTGCGCGTTCGAGGGACGCCCGAGTTAGAAGAGTTGGATGGTCGTTCGCCGCCTGAATCGAAACGCAAGTCGTGGAGTCCTTCTCCAGGAAGTATAGCAGGCCCGAAGCGAACGGTGTCCAGGGCCGACCTTTTTTGCAGTAGTCAGAGCTTTGCAAAAAAAGAAAAAACGAAAAAAACCCAGGTGATGCTACCATGGCAGCTGATGCTAGTGATGTCAGGCATACGACATGGTGTTGATGCTGTTCATGCTTCGAATGCTGATATGTGGGTCGAGTTTTTGGAAGGCCACACAAGAGCACGATGGCACCGCTGCTTCTAAAATGTCAAGAACCACCTAGGAGAGGCCGAGTTCGGCATCTCAATTGCCCCAGAGCACTGGCATGCCAACCGAGTGGCAGGTGCACTCGCGGAGCGCTCGGCGCAGGAGGCGCCCCCCGTTTTTTTGGCCGTTCGGGTTAGGGAAACAGGCGAGCTGGCATGGAGGGTTCAGAAGAGACTCATTGGCATAGACTTAGAGGTGGCCAAGCAAGCCAAGGACTTTTATAGCACGACCATTAAACAATGGCCTGGCCGCAAGGACCCAAGTTAATGCCAAGGCCCAGGTCCAAGCTAGGGATGTGGCGGCCAGGAAACCTCCCATGTTTGTGAGAAGGGTGACCGTTTTTTTAAGTGTCTAGCCTGCCTTAGAGTCTGCAGCAAAGCATGCCTTGTGAATTTGTGCCGGATGGACTGCCAGAACCGTCCATTTCAAATCCACAGCACTCACAGGATCGAGACCTACCGAGGTTTATGGTTCTGTAGGGCCTGCGTGGCCCAAGGTGTTTCACGTTTCGTCCGTTTGGCTCGGTCATGCGTCCTTGGACTCTTCCAGGAAGGCAAACTCACGTTCAGTCAGATTTTCAAATTCGAAAAGCCCAAATGTGTCAAGCAATGGCCAGACGCGATCTGGACTTGAAGGTGCCGCCATCTTGCCCATTCCCGACGGCCCTGCCGAAGACTGCCCACGCGGTTCGTTGGTCGGGCTGACTAGAGACGGGGTGAGGAGGAGGAGGAGGAGGAGGAGGAGGAGGAGGAGGAGGAGGATCGGCGCGTGGAAAGTGGGCGCGATCGAGGAGAAGAAGAGGATGATGATGATGATGATGGTGATGATGATACTTCTGCTGATGATGATGATGATGATGATGATAATGATGATGCTGATGATGATGATGAGGATGATGAGGATGATGAGGATGATGAGGATGATGAGGATGATGAGGATGATGATGATGATGACGATGATGATGATGATGACGACGACGATGATGATGATGATGATGATGATGCTGCTGCTGATGATGATGATGATGCTGATGATGATGATGATGATGATGCTGATGATGATGATGATGATGCTGATGATGATGATGATGATGATGATGATGATGATGATGATGATGATGATGATGATGATGATGATGATGATGATGATGATGATGACGATGACGACGACGACGACGACGACGACGATGATGATAAGGCGGAGGAGGAGGAGGGGGCTATAAGGGAGGAGGGGGAGGGACGGATTGAGAAGGGGTGTGTAGGTGGGTGCGGGGAGGGGGGAAAGGGGGGACATCGGGAGATGGTGGAGAGGATGGGGCTGGTCGAGGGCGTCGCGGATTGAGGCCCTGAACCACGAGAACTTGCTCAACCTCACCGACCTCCTCGACACCGGAGGGCCGGTTTTCGACGACGTATACATCGTCATGCCCTACATGCACCTGGACCTGCACAAGGCGGCTCCGGCCTGCCTCGGCGTTGCTTGCACGCCGCGGGCCCCAGGGAAGGGCAGCGCCCGTACCAGCGTACAGAGGCCGCAGGCAACGCGCACAGGACGCCAGGCCTCTCCGCCAGCTCTGCAGGCCAGCGCCTGCTGTTCCCGAGCGCCTGCGGGAGGCCGCGGGAGCGGCGGCGGCGGCGAGGAGCGGCGAGAGAGCGGTTTCCGGCGCCGAGGGCCCTCGCGAGGCCGCGCGTGCGACCTTCCGAGCGAGCGGCACGCCGCGCGGCGCCCCTCCGAGCGGCCCGTGCGAGCGCCTTTGCGCGGGGAGCGGCCCTCTGTGCGCGAGCGGCCTCGCGCTCGCACCCGCGCGCAGGTGATCTACTCGAAGATGAAGCTGTCCGAGTCCCACGCGCAGGCGTTCTCCTGCCAGATCCTCCGGGGCCTGAAGTACCTCCATGCTGCAGGTGGGGCGGGCCAAGTCAAGGACCGATGCCGCCGAAGGACTTCCTGTGGGCGTCGGGGAAGGGAGCGAACGGCACGAGTGCAATCTTTCGGAGCTCCGCGTGGATTTCCTGGATCTGCGCTGGCCCCCCTGGCGGCGGCTCCAGCGCAGACACGCTGCGCGGTCCTCGCGCCAGGGAGAGGATCCAGCGTCGATGCAAGAAGTCTGCGGGGACCTTCGACGGGTTATGCTGGTGCATGTTATGGTTCCTCGGAATGTCGCTGGAAGACTCCCTGGGGCTTCCGCCCGGCTCTTCCCTTGCTGGGGGGCTCGCTCCAGTCACCATGCTGAGGGGAGCTCGGCGGCGCGTTCCGAGCTGCAGCAGCACGGAGCCCCTGCGTGGGCTCAGGCTTGGGCGCTCGGGTCGGGGTCCCAGGGCTTCTTATACTCTGTGACCCTCCCTCCTCCACCTCTGTCATCCCCTGCCTTCCCTGGCAGACGGGAGGCCAGGGATGTCCCGTAGTGTCTTGGCCTCTGGTCGAAGTCGAGCGCTCTGGCAGAAAGATCAGGCTGAGCCCAAGGAGGGAAATTGTCGGCGCCGTTGTGCCCGCCTGAACGCAGATATACGGTCTCCAGCCAGGGGGGCGACAGGTGTGGTTCGAGCTCGCACGGACAAGAGTAGGCCAGGACAGCGCGCGAGCAGCACCCTTCCCCTGAAGCTGGCGAGGTGTCGTCCACCGAGACCTGAAGCCCTCGAACATCCTCGTGAACAAGGACTGCACGCTGCGGATCGCCGACCTGGGCCCCGCGGGATGGAGAAGACCTCGTGCGCCCGCCGTGGGCTCTGGGAGAGGGGAGGCTGGACGCCACAGGTGCACCTCCCCCTCCCCCTCCCCCTCCTCCCCCTCCCCCTCCTCCTCCTCCTCCTCCTCCTCCTCCTCCTCCTCCTCCTCCTCCTCCTCCTCATCCTCCTCATCCTCCCCCTCCTCCTCCTCCTCATCCTCCTCATCCTCCCCCTCCTTCTGCTGCTCATTCCACTTCCGTACCCGTCCTTCGTCCGTCATCCTCCTCTTCGACGCTCTCCAGTTTCCTGATCCTCCATCCTTCCCCTGCTCCCCCCTCCTTCTCCCGAAGCAGTGCTCCCAGCTCTCAGCTCAGGCCCGATGTGCTTTTCGTGTGAGGCCTCATTTCCAAGAGGGCCGAAAGGCCATGCCCGGATGGTAGAGGAAGGAGGAAGGGAGGCAGGGAGGGGGGAAGGGAGGAGGAGGAGGAGGTGGAGGAGGAGGAGGAGGAGGAGGAGGAGGAGGAGGAGGAGGAGGAGGAGGAGAAGGCGGCGGATGAGGCGGAGGTGGTTCCGCTGCGCCACCCGCCCAGGGATCGGTAGACACCAACCTCTCGCGGTGCCGCGGCGCCAGGGGGCGACCGGCACTACGCCGAGTGCAGACCTCTCCCTGCTGTCCCAGACATCCGACGTCTCGATTTTTTCGAGACGCGGGCCCCCGACCTCCCGACCACTTCCCTGGGACCAGTTTTTCATCCCGAGTCGTTTTTTGACGGTCCCGAGGCCCGGCGAGGGCCCCGACAGGCCAAAAATTATGAAGACCTCTGTCTCGATCTTTTCGAGACGCCCGATGTCTGGGGTGAGCCCTCGGAGCCGACTCTGGCAGGGACGTGGGCGGCGGCCTGCTGCCACTCCGCCCCGCTTGGCTCGGAGGAGGAGAGGGCGGAGCGAGGAGCGAGGAAGCTCGGCAGACGACCGGGGAGGAGCGAGGAGCGAGGAGCGATGAGCCCTGCCCCCCCGGAGTGCGCGACCGTGCCTCGGGCACCTCCCACATGTCCTCCTCTTCCTCCTCCTCCTCCTCCTCCTCCTCCTCCTCCTCTCCTTCATGCTCCTCCTCCTCCTCCTCCTCCTCCTCCTCCTCCTCCTCCTCCTCCTCTCATGCATGCATGCATGCATGCATGCATGCATGCATGCATGCATGCTCCTCCTCCTCCTCCTCCTCCTCCTCCTCCGCCTTCTCCTGCACGCCATGTGGTGGCTCCCGGGTCAAGACTCGGGCCTCTTGCGGCCGCTCGGGTACGATCCGGGCGTCTCCGGCACCTCTCGCAGACGCAGCTGCCGGGGCCCCGCATAGGCAGGAGGACCTCCAGGAGCAGACAAGCATGCACGACAAGCTCGGGGCCTGCGAGAAGGTGCGGAAAGCTCGGGGTTACTGGTTCCGGCTCCCGCAGACGACGTATACTTCCAGACCAGCGGGCGCGCAGTTAATTACGTTCGTGATGGTGAACAGAGATCATGAACGAAACAAAAACAAAACAGACAACAAAACAAGACAACAAAACAAGACAACAACAACAACAACAACAACAACAACAACAACAACAACAACAACAACAACAACAACAACAACAACAACAACAACAACAACAACAACAACAAAAACAGCCCCGAGCCTGCGAAAGTGCACGAGACGCCCGCCCCGGCGCCCGAGCGTCGCCCCATAGAGCGCGGCAGGCCTTCGCGGCGCGCGCGGGCCTGGGCAGCACCACGGCTGCCGCGCGAGCGGGCCGCCTCTCTCCGGGGGCGCCGCGGGCGGCCCCGGCCGCGCCGCCCGGGCCTCTCGGCTTCCCGCGGCCGCGGCCTCCTCGGAGGGCTCGGCGAGCCTCGGCGGCCGAGGCTCGGGCCGCTGCACCCCGCCCCCTGCTCGGAACTCGTGGGGGTGCAGGGGCAGGGCTCGCACGCGGCCCCCGAACGTTAGGCCCTCCGCGCGGAAGGCCCACGCAAGATACGGGCCCCCTGACGGGCCCTCCGCGCGGGCCCCCTAACGGGCCCTCGGCGCAGCAGAAGGCCCCTCCAAGATACGGGCCCGGAGCGCAAGCAGGGCCCCCTCATCGTGCAGGCAGTGCGTGGGAGCTGGCAGTGCGGCGACCTCCCCCCCGCACGCGGCGTCTAGAGGGCACCACGCCGTCCCTGGCCAGGGCCGCCCTGGGCCCCGGGTCGGCGTACAGACCTCCTGGCCCAGGCCAGCGGGCCAGCTGCACACCAGCACGGGGCCCAGCCTGGCTCACGGCCCTGGACGGCGGTGGTGCACGGCCCCGCCTTCTAGGCCTCCGGCGGGCACGGGCCCCCGCGCGACCGCTCGACCACTTCCCCGGGGCCCGCCTCTCCTCCCGAGCCGTTCTTGTCACGGCCCCGCAGCCCGGCGAGGCCCCCCAGAAGCCGAAAGCGGCCAAACACCTTCCGCCTCGATTTTTGTTCCGCGACGCGAGCATGTCTGGGGTGCACAGCCGCCCTCTGGCGCCCAGCCCCCCCAAGGCCTGGCTCGCGGGCGCATCTTCGAGGAGGAGCAGCTCACCGACTACGTCGTGACGCGCCAGCCTCGGTCCGCCCGGCGGCCTGGTCGCCGCCGGCCGGCGAGCCCGAGCCCGCACAGCCTCGGGGCAGGGAGAGAGCGCCTCCCCTCCGGCTCCCCCTTCTCCCGCGCCTCCCGCTGAGGCTCCTCCTCCTCGGGGGTGCCCAGCGGGAGGCGGCGCCCACCTGGTCGGCCGCGCGGCGCACCGTGGCGAGGGTGCTCCAGGGAAGGGCTCCCGCCCCCTCCGGTGAGTGTGCAGGCTCGGGGTCGCAGCGCAGGCTCGCCGCTCGCGGGGGGGTCGCGGGGCTGCCCGATCGATCCTCCCCGCGGCCGATGCGGAGCCGGGCTCTCGGCGTGGCCCGGGCGGCGCTCGGTCGATCGCTCTCTGCGCCCGGGGGGGCCCGAGGGGGGTTTGTCCGCTATATCCCCAGGGGCAGCGATTGGCCGATTGGGGGGGGGATGAGCACAGGGGGGGCCGCGTCGACCCCCCGTCGCCCATTGATCGTCGACAGTGTCGGGGGCCTGTCGCCGGTCTCTGGGCGATGCATCGCCGATTCCAGGTTGACGTTCCCCACCCCCCCAGGAGGAGGAGGAGGAGGAGGAGGAGGAGGAAGAGGAGCAGGAGGAGGAGGAGGAGGGAGGAGGAGGAGGAGGAGGAGGAGCCATTTCCCCCCTTCTCGTTGCCCCCCCCCCCCATGCCCAGATCCCCGACGTTGTGGTGTTCCGGTCCTGGGCGTGGCTCCTCGACCGCGGCCCTCGGGGGCTGCGGCCGGGCTCCGGCGCCAGCAGGAGCGAGTCCGGGATAGAAGGCTACCCACCCCAGGGGGAATGGTCGGGACCACCCTGGGGCCGCGGGCTGAGCAGAATGATGTTCCGATGGGGGGGAATCTACGCATGACCACCGCCTGGAGGCTCAGTTTTGCGGAGCCTCGGCAGGCGGTGGATATGGACATGTTCGGGCCCCCGGGGGCCGGAACATGTAGTCCTGTCCACCGCCCGCTGGGGCACCAGGACGTCGCTTCCCAGGCGGTGGATATGGATACATCCCCGCCTCTCAGATATACCGCCGGATGTCGGGCTAGACGTGGGAGTGGCCCTTCGCCAGAGTGACCTCCGGCGCGGTGCTGGCCCCCATGGGGGGCCGCCGATCCATGAACGCGGTGCGCCAGCCAGCGGCCTGCACGCGTGGGTTCGCGACCCCCCCCCCCCCCCCCCCGCCACCCCCCTCTCCCGTGGCCCATGCCCCCCCTGAAAAGCAGCGGACAAAGAACGGTACAGGGTGAACGTTCCCGCCGTCCGGGGCGCCTGCCCCAGGGCGGCTGGGAGGCTCATGCGACATATCGCTCTTCGTCAAGGGGGGGGACTCGATCTCGAGGGCCCCGCATGTCGGTCGCTTCTGCGCTCGTCGCTCCTGGCCTCTGAGAGCCATCCTGAGGTGAGGAGGTCACTACACAGTCCTGCGAGCTTGCCAGGCCGATCTTGCCGTGGAAGCGAATGTGGGTTTCAGAGCGACCTCGGCAGGCGGATCTTGCCATGGGAGCAACTTGTAGGTTTCAGAGCGACCTCGGCAGCGGATCTTATCGTGGAAGCGGGTGTGGATTTCAGAGCGACGGGTGATGTGTCATGCAAGGCGAGCAAGACCAGACATGAAACATGTATATGTATCGGAGCTGAATGGAGATCGGACGAGCTTCGATCGCAGCATCGCTTGCGATTCCGATCGGAGACCCTCATTAGCGGGATCGGCTAGCTTCGCCAGGGTACCCTGACTCTGGGTCCGCCGTACTTTTGGCGGTATCGAAAGTTGTATGGAAATTGCCGCCCCACTTTTCAAGCTCCTTTGATGTCAATTTCCGCCCAACTTTGCCGTCGCTGTTTCCGCCACACGTTGGCGGAAAGATGAGAGCGTCTTTAAATACCCGGGCGACAGAAGGGCGTTATCGGGGGGGACGACGGGGCCAGCAACGTCACGTTTCACGCTGGCGCCGTCTGGGAATGCTAAGGACTAGCCAGAGACAGCTCGAGTAGCAGATACCTGTAGGGATCCGCTACGGCAGAACGCGCATACCCATATTATGTGCCTGCTTCGGCAGAGCGTTTCCCTTTTCCTTCTTCGCCAATTCCTCCTTGTCGTCGTTGTCATTGGCGTCGTCGTCAGTCGTCTTCGTCGTCGTCGTCTTAGCGTTCCTCCTCTCGTCGTCGTTGTCATTGTCGTTGTCGTCGTCCTCGTCTTCTTCATTAGATTGCAAGGTGCTTGACGCAAGGGCAGACGAAGGAGGGGGGGAGTTGGGAGAAAGGAGGAGGAGGAGCACGATTCGATTACAGAAGTGGCATCAAACAGGTCGTTTCTGCCTGGCCTCGCCTCCTCCCTCCTCCCAACTCCCTCCCCTCTTCTTCTGCTCTTGCGTGAAGCACCTTGCAGTACCTAGAGTGGGGACGACGAGGACGGAACGCTACGACGAAGACGCCGACGCCGACGACGAGGACGACAGGAGGAGGAGGAGGAGGAGGAGGAGGACGAGGAGGAGAACGGGAAGGGAAGTGCTCTGCCGGAGCAGATCCCTATAGGTATGTGCGCTCTGGCGTAACGGCGTAGCAGATCACCATAGGTATCTGCTATCCGAGCTGACTTTGGCTATTCCTAGACCCTAGACGTGCCCAGACGGCACTGGCGCGAAACCTGGCATCATCACCAGGGGGGTGGGCGGGGAGGCGGGGCCGGTTACGGCCGTCATCGCGAAACACAGGACGCGCTTTCTATCTGCACTGCTCCTCTGAGGCGGGCATCTCCGCACAACTCCTCCGCATGGCTTCCGGGCGCACTTCCGACACGATGGCAGGGTCGGAACATCGGCCGAAGCACGGCGGAGCCAGGTCGGGGGCCGCTGAGGAGGAGGAGGGAGGAGGAGGAGGAGGAGGAGGAGGAGGAGGAGGAGGAGGAGGAGGAGGACGGGGAGGAGGAGGAGGAGGAGGAGGAGGAGGAGGCGGAGGAGGGGCCAAGGCGTTGGTACCGCGCCCCGGAGCTGATGCTCTTCCCCTCGGGCTACTTCGAGCAGGTGGACCTGTGGTCGGCGGAGCCCCCAGCGGCCCCCAGGCCCAGGCGGGCAGCGACGGGCCGGCGCACGCCCCGGCCCTGTGCGAGGCCCCCCCTTGCGTCTCGCCCCCCCCCCCCCCGTTAGGGCGCCACATGCGAACCCTACCCCTACCCCCCACGATTTCTGAGGGGGAGGGTGGTAGGGGGGTAGGGTTCGTGGGGGGTAGGGGTAGGGTTCGCATGTGGCCCCCTACCCGTGGATCGGCGGCGAGCGAGGGGGGGGAAGTGAGAGGGAGGAGGCCTTCTCAGAAGGCGGCGGGGCTTCTCAGGAGCCCTCGGGCCTTCTGAGAGGGTCTCCGTGTCTTCGGGGAAGGCTCAGCGAACTTCTCAAAAGGCAGGGGGGGACTTCCGAACCTTCTGAGGAGGCCTTATCCTTCTGTTTCCTTGGTGCTACTCTCGGCCTCTGGGGGCCATCGCTGGAGACCGTGAAAAACAATCTCAGGATGAAGAGCCGGTCCTGGGCAATGGGTCGAGTCTTTTGTCAGGCGATCGCAGTGGATCAGCGACGGGTCCCGTTCCCGAGGGAAATCGCGGATCTCCGCCGCCGAACGAGGCGGCACCGGCCGCATTTTGGGGAGAGCACCTCCCCCGATCCGGGTGTGCAGCAGTCCCCCTGGTCTCTGACCCGCTTGATCGAGCCCAAGCGGCTTGAGGGAGGAGGAGGAGGAGGAGGAGGAGGAGGAGATAGGAGGAAGAGGAGGAGGAGGAGGAGGAGGAGGAGGAGGAGGAGGAAGGAGGAGGAGGAGGAGGGGGCCTGGGGACCGATTTTTTTGTTGTCGTTATCTCAGCTCGCCCTGCCCCGAGAGTAGACGGATTCGGAGCATCGCGCCGACCGCCGATACGTCGGCGATGTGCGGCTCGATGTGGAGCCAGACGGTGCCGATATATCGCCGATGCATCGGCGATGCGGCGCGATCCTCCGACCCCATCTGCTCGGACCTCATCTGGGATGCCCCGAGATATGCGTACTTACAAAGCAGAGCCTGCAGCGATTCTGGGCGATCCCCGACGGTGCTTTGCAGCAGATGCCGATGGCTCTAGACGACCATGCGCGACGCATGCTTCGTGAGGGCTGGGCGGGGGCTGGCCGCAGAGGCCGTACAGGACAAGGAGATCAGAGGTCCTGGGCATTCAGAGATCGCGGAACAGTCCGCTTCAATCGATCCGCGAGCCCTGAGCGCCAGGGCACCCAACAGCCAACAAGAGGAACCGACCCGGGCCAGGCAGCACACCGTTCGCGGCTGCTGCCATATCGGACAGTGTCTGTGCCTGGCTAGGGCCCGATCGGCTCTTGGCATCGCTCGGACGTGTGCGTTTTTCCTTCGGCGAGGACCGTCGAGGAGCATCCTTGATCGTCTGGCGAAAAAACCACGCACGAAACCCCCAAAAAGCACAGGGAATGGACGCCCGAGCGATGGCCAGCGACTGCTCTTGGCCCCCCCCTGGCGCGTGGTGGGACTGAGGGAGCGCCGCGCTCGGGAGCCGCTCCGGGCTGTGGAAGCCGCCAGAAGTGAAGCTGCGGGGCGCCAGGCACAACAAAAGCTGGCGGAGCACGCAGACGCTCTGCGGAGCCGGCTGGGGTTCTGAGGTGGCCCAGCACTGGTTCTGGCCAGCAGGGCGCGTGCAGGGCGGGCTTGCTCGAGGCGGTGGGTTCGGGAAGGTTTTCCGCCTTTGTCGGCCTTCTGGGGGCCGTTTTCGGGGTCCGGGGCTGTCAAAAACGGATCCGGGGCGAAAAATTGTGCCAGATGGACCTCGGGAGGGCTCTGGGGACCGATTTTGAGCGGATTCGGCTTCATCCCCCCACTCCCCACTCCTGGCTAATTTTCTCTGGTCCCAACTACGGTGGGGGCGTTCGTTAAGGAGCGTGCCCAGGAGGTTTCAGACCCTGGAGGATTCCTTATCTGATGAGGGCGGCGGTGATACCCATGGCCAAGCCACGATGGGAGTTCCACCGGTCTCCAGACCCTGGATTCCTTATCTCAGGGTTCCTTATCCGATGCCCCCACCGTAGTTCAGAACCCCTGGCCGCCTCCAAGACGCTCTCAGGATCAGGGCCGAGTCTGTCGCCCAACCTCCAAGATGATCCGAGGTGGGCTGCATCCACGTCGAGCTGCTGTCGAGGAGGCCGCTGTTTCCCGAGGAGAACCACGTCCGACTCTCAGCGCTGCTGCCCTCCCAGCTATCGCAGCGGCCCTGCCACAATTGGGCTTGACCCGGTCTTGCTGACCGCATGACGGACCATTGATTGCATAAGCCACTAGCCCCTGCACAGTCATATTGTGCCTCAGTCTGCCAGAGATCACCCTGGCACCACACGCTGTTTGGGGTGAACGCCATGGTCTCCTCCGGCGAACATTTTGCAATGCCGGGCCGCATGGAAGTACGGGGGGGCGGGGCCATCGAGCGCAGAGTGCACGGTCAGGAACGTTGACTTCGCGTGTCGCGCCGCTGGTTTTGGCCCATCTCGCTTCGGCGCGACGCGCGAAACAAACCCCGCAGAGCGCAGGGTCACGCTATCAACGACACTCTAAGCAGCTGGCCCCTGACCGTGCGTGTTTCGGGCTCTTCTGTTTGGCGGTGGGGCCCTGTGGGCGAGGCGTGGGGTGGCGTGCGCGGCACGGGGGTTCGCGGCATCTCGGCCAGGTGGGCTAAGGGGTGAAAGGGTAGTGAGGTCGCGAGGAGGAGGGAGGGAGGGAGGGAGGGAGGGAGGGAGGAGGGAGGGAGGGAGGGAGGGAGGAGAGGGAGGGATGGTAGAGGTAGGTAGGGTATGGTAGGAGGGAGGGAGGAGGGAGGGAGGGAGGAGGGAGGAGGAGGAGAGAGGAGGAGGAGGAGGAGGAGGGGGTGTGCGGTCGATGCCTCCTGCTCCTCCTCACAATCATTCTCCACACCCCGCTGAGGGTAGGCGAGGGGGAGAGGAGAGGAGAGGAGAGGAGTGGGAAGAGGGGAGCGGGGGGGAGAGTGGAGAGATGGAGGGGGAGGGGAGTTGCCGAAGGGACCTTCTTCTCCTCGTCCTCCTCCTTTTTTCCTCCTCCTCCTCCTCCTCCTCCTCTCCTCCTCCTCCCGCCCCTCCTCCCTCCTCCCTCTTCCTGCTCAAGTCGTCGACGCTGGCCCTTCTCCTCCTCCTCCTCCTCCTCCTTCTCCTCCTCTTCCTCATCATCATCACCCTTCTGATCCTTGTCCTACTCTCGCTTCTCCCTCCTCCTTCATCCTTCTGCCCCTTGTCCTACTCACGCTTTTCCCTCCTCGTCCTCCACCTCCTCCTCCTCCTCATCCTCCTTTTCTTCCTCCTCCTCCTTCTTGAACAAGTGGTGGGTAGACCAAAAAATCATGACGTCCGCCTGGGCCCCCGTCGGACGAGCGGAAATGCGAGCGCAGTGGCGCGCGCTGTCGCGCGCGACCCGCCGCTGGTAATAACGTGAATGCGCGGGCATCGCGGCGACGACGACGGCGACGGCGACGACGACGACGGCGGCGCCTGCGCCGACGGTGACGACGACGGCGGCAACGGCGACGGCGGCGACGACAAACATCGCGGCGACGGCGGCGACGGCGGCGACGGGGCCCGGGACCACGGGCGAGTTTCTGCCCCGCCCTCGCTCCTGGAGTCCCGCGCCAGATTTTATGGAAGGGGCGAAGTTTCTGCGCGCAGTTTTACCCCAGCCGTCCCTCCGCTTTACTCAAGCTCGCTCTTCGCTTTAGTAAAAAAGTCGTTTGTCGGGATGAATGGAGCGGCGCGCCTTTACTGAAGCCGCTTCCTCGTTTTAGTAAAGCCGCTTCCTCGCTTTAGCACACCCGCTTCCACGCTTTAGTAAAGCCGCTTCCTCGCTTTAGTAAAATCCGCGGTCTGCTTTAGTGAAGCCCTGGGGATGCGGTGGTGATGCGGGGCCAGGGCCCGGTGGGCGGGCGGGGGGGCCTTGCTGCCAGTTCACCCCGCGATACAGTTGCTCGAGTAGTCAGGGTCGCGTTGCATCGGGTCGCGGCGACCCTTGTACATGTTCTCAGCGAGTTGCTGATGCTCCTTGACAGGAGATTCAGGGCGCGAGCCAGGACGTGGTTCGGCAATTCGGACGCGCCGCCGCGGCTGTCGCGCAACAGAACAACAGCACTATACAAAAAGGCTTGTTTCCTTTAGCGAATAGCTCCTTCAAAGTAATAGTGTGAAGTTTCCGCTTCCAGGATTCTCGTTGTCCTATTCTCGCTTCCCCCCCTCGCCATCCTCGTCGTCTCCCTCCTCCTCCTCCTCCTCCTCCTCCTCCTCCTCCTCCTCCTCCTCCTCCTCCTCTTCCTCATCCTCATCCTCCTTCTCCTCGTCCTCCGTCAGAAACTCGTGGCAAATCAGTGTTCCCCTCTCTGGCCGTTGAGCACCAGCACGCCGCTCCTTCATACTCGGTCGGGCCTTTTCTTTCCTGCGGTCCACTGGTCAAGCTTGGCCAGACCCTCCCTCCTGCAAAGTTCGTGCGCCAGCCTCTGTTCGGATGGATCTCCGCGTCTCACGTTACGGCGACGTTTACTCCTTTTCATTTTTCTGCTCCTCCTTCTCATCCCTTGTCTCCCCCTTCGCCCTCTCCTCTCGGCTACGCGTGAGAGTGACCCTTCGCCGGAGTGACCTTTGGTGCGGGCCCATAGGGGCCCCGCCAATACTGAGCGGCGCGCTTAGATTGCTCGAATTTGGCCCCTGTCGCGGCCCCCTGAGGCCGCGCTCCAAAGGTTACCCTTGCCTAGAGGAGGGCAAGGGGGAGGTGCCATGGGGCTTAACCCTGGTTTCCAGCCGCCCGATGCTGATGATGATGATGATGATGATGATGATGATGTTGCTGCTGCTGATGATGATGATGATGATGATAATAACGATGATGATGATGATGATGATGATGATGCTGATGCTGATGCTGATGCTGATGCTGATGCTGATGATGCTGATGCTGATGCTGGTGCTGATGCTGATGCTGATGCTGATGCTGATGATGGTGGTGATGATGTTGGTGATGGTGATGGTCATAGTGCTGGTGGACAGGATGATAATGCTGGCGATGGTGATGCTGATGGACGATGGCGGTAACAATGTTGATGACGATTCTGGATGAT